TGTCCTACCCCTGATGTTTTTGTACCTGCTTACAAGAAAGAGCTCAACGGTTTAAAATCTCAGTGTATTATCTTATGGATGTTTTTTAATCCATAGACAATAACATTGCCTAGGCCTGAGTAAGGCTTTGGCTTTGGATGTGGTTTTGTGAAAGGAATTTTGCTAACACTTAGGGTGATACAACCTGTATTTCATGGGTGATTTTTGAGAACTGTCTTTTTCAAAGTTGGGTGAAGATGAATCAAACTCTGGCCTATGAGATTGGGAAGTCAGGATGGGAAGAAAGGTCCCCATGGCTAATCAGGAGTCCTTGCAAGAGTTTTAGCTCTTAGAAGGGAGATCTGGCAATCTGAGTTTAGAAGACTGTTCTCCTCGGACAAATCCACAGGGCTTTGCATGCCAGGACAGAGGCTCCTAAATTAAATGTCACACACTTCACTCCCTAAGGAGTCATCAATCATTCTTAGAAGAGCAGAAGGAGTACTCTCCTTCCTCAGATCAATGAGGCAAACAGAGTATACTCCTTCTACTCTTCTAAGAGTGATTGATGACTCCTTAGAGGCTGAAGTGTGTGACATTTGATTTCACTTACTGATAAAACTGTGTGCTTCTGAACACCTTCTAGTTAATGTTTTCAGGAGTCTAAAATATCTACTCCTTTTAACATTTTAAACAAAGCTCCATTGTTATATGATTAATGAATTTGTGACAAAAGGCGAAAATATATGCACAGATTTTATATCTGACTATGTATTATATATTGCCCAACATTCATCAAATAAAAGTATAGATTAATCAACACCTCCCAGATTTGAACAATGGCATTTTAATGGAAAAAGTTCTTTATGCAAAAGATTATTTTTGCTAAAACAAAAACTGACATAATATTCCACCACTATACTCTATCAATGCTTGCTTTCCACAAAACCTAATGCACTAGTTGATCAGCATCTCTTAAAGTTCTCTCTAGAGAGTGATATTTCAATTTCACAAATGGAGGATGCTTCTGTTGTTGTTTTCTTCTTCTCTCTCTTGTAGGAATGTATTTTTTGTATGACTCATTGATATATTGAAAGACTACAATTAGCATAATTTTAAACTATGGTCTGATCACCATTTTTAGTATGTACCTTCTCAAGCATGGTTATTATTCCTCTGAGCATAACTTTTTCCATTTTATTATGTGCTGTAGTACTAGAGGCTCTATTAAATAAAATCCTTTAATACTGTGTAAAATAGAAATACTAATATACATTATTCATTTATTTTGCCTCTAAAACTGATAAAATATTAAGTTTTTTTAATGCACCTATTTTTCCTCTATTTCAAATTATGATTTAAAAAGTGGAACTCCTGTTCATTGTCTTATTATGTGCCATGCTTATTTTCTGTTAATTTAGGGCAAGATTCTGATACCCTCCCTCATGCTGAATACTACCTTCCTTACTGCAAAAGTATTCCTATTGAAATCTACAGGAGTATTTGTGGAGTAAGGAGACAGTAAATCAGAATCATTTGAAAGGCACACCTTATCAAGACCTCGCTGCAAATAAAGACAAGAATCAGCAATTTAGCTGTTTGTACCTAGGAAGACAATACACAGAAACTAAAGGCTTGTCTACACTACAGCCATTACAGTGACAGCTAAGGTGCTACAGCTGTGCTGCTGTAGGGTAGAAGCTTTTTCTATGTAGTTAACCCATCACTCTGAAAGGTAGTAGCTAGGTCGACGGAATAATTCTTCTGTTGACCTAGTCATGTTTACACCAGGGGCTAAATCAGCCTAACTATAGTGCTCAGGGTGTGAAATTTTTCACAACCCTGAGGAATGTAATTAGGTCAATCTACTTTTTAAGCATAGGCAAGGCTTATGAAACTCTGGGTTTGCCTTGTGTTATTCTGTAGACAAGTATTGCTTCCCAGGATGGGTCAGCTCTTTTCACACAGGACTAGTAGACACTCAGCTGACCGAAACTATGCATATAACAACAGATAATATGAGAACAACCAACCTGGCCTGGTTACCAGTCCTGTCCATTGCCTCTCCTGATCTCAGGCAACAAGTTGCCTTGCAGAATCTGCTCCTTAAGGTGGAAGACATGCCACATCTATCCTGTTTAAAGATGTGTTTAATACACTGAGCCACTGTCTCAGCTCAAGTTGCCCCATTTGGACAATTCCCCTAAGGAACCTCAATATCATCTCAAGGTGACTTACCAGGTGGCAAGAATAAGCTTCAAACATAGCCAATGCAGAACCAACAGTCCACCCTTCTCGTTTTAACTTTCCTCGCAATCTCTGGGTAAAGCTCAATCACTTCAGATGTGGAATGATCAGATGTGCTGCTAATGACTCTAACCAAAGGTTGTGGAGCACTATTTAAAGTGGGGGGGACATAAATTTGGATTTCTCTCTACATACACCTGACCTCCTCTTCCCCTCTCAGGCCCCCCACACAGCAGCCTTCTTACCCCATTGGCACATGAGGTCCTATGTTTGCTCCTCCAAATTTCAGTGAGTAATGCTGCAACCTGGGGCACAGAGTTGCAGTGACATTCAAGTATGGCCCAGCCAAGAAGTGGTCGGGCCATGGCCTAGGAGCCCCCCAACTCTGTGTCTATGACAAGTGGGGTCTTCATGGCTCCCCTGTTTGCCACCGTGGCCAGATGTAGAAGATGTAGGCCACATACCTGCTTGCTGTGACCATGGGCAAGGGGTGCTTGGTTCCCTCATGGACTTGTCATTATACCCTTCCTGCAGTTACTGAATGGTTAAGACACTTAGACGAACATGCTTGACCTGATTGTCTATGTAGATACAATCACAATATATAGTAAATCAAAATGACAGTATCACAATTTACCCCACAGAAAATGCTGATTGGAAATATTAACATTTTAAAATAGATAATTAAGAAATAGCAATGGTATTCCCCCTTTACCCTTTTAATGAATTCAGCCATCATCAGAAACTAAACAGAGATTCCTGCTCTGTACATGTCACATGAATCTTTTTGTTTTGTTTATGATTCGAAACAATGGCTTAGTATTTGCCAAGCCTTCCTTCACTTTGCTGAGGCCTTGTGTGACAAACAAAAGCATTGGTTATTTTGATTTCATATTTATGTGCTGCTTGAATGACTTATAAAACCTGGGCTCATCCCCTTAATGCAAATAAGAGATGCATGCTACCTTCAAACTCTTTTAATGGAAAAAAATGGGCACAAACTCTTTTGCCAAATTAAGTGATCTCTGATGACATGATTACAAAAAGATGGTGTTATGAGATGTTCTGGCACTTTTCTCAGAGATGATGAAATCTCCACAGCTTTTTGAAAATGATTACAAAATGAGCACTACATGAAACTATAAAGAATGGGATTAGCCTGAAGACACAACTTTTGAAGTAAATTCTAATCATTCAAAGAAAAAATAAATGTAGCCCTGAATGTGCTTTATTACTAAAACCAACATGATAGAACACCATCAGATAGCTGATTTATGCTGAAGACTATAACTTCTTCTTAATCTTAGCACAATTGTAGATCAAAAGACTTCTAATACTACAATACTTTCCTGGCACTGATTCTAGAAATTCAAGTCTCCTAGCACCATTTGGACATATATTTTTGTACACAATTACCTTAACTCACACACTTTTCTTCAATGCTTATAAATTAACATTTCAATGCAGACATGTCTCATCTTTCAAGAAAAGTCAAAGAACATAATTTTGCTGTCTACAAAAGTCTTGTATTTTCTCCTTGACGGTTCTTTTCAAAATATTCTAAAGGCACCCGTGGACAGTATCTTCACAATACTTGTAACGAATGGAAATAATGACACAGGTAATACAGAAGTACTGTAGTTAATCTTCACAACAATTAATTGGTAAAACCCCAATCATTTCCCTTATGGTGTTTTCTCCCTCATTTTCCATTTTGGTAGCACACAACTTCAAGTATTCATATGTGATATGGATCCTCTCCACTACAAACTGTACTTCTTCACTCACATCTCCCAGTGACATGCAATGGTTTTATTATAATTTCCATCCTGAAATGCAGGAGATGAAGATTCTCCCAAAATCATCATCATTCACTGAGAGTCCATAAATCAAAGGGCAGCAGTTGCATGGATATTGGCAGTTCCCAACTTCCTCTTTAGAACAGATATATAAGCAAGAAGGAAAATCCAGTTCTCTATGGAAACTGATTATTTCATACCATAAGACCGGCTTAGTCAACAAGCTAACTCCATCCTTAGTGGACCTCCAATGATCTAGCTTAATTTATATCTTATGTGTCCTTAAAAAAAAACAAAAACAAAACTAAAAACCTTATCTTCTCTTTCTATGCTTAATTACACCCAAAAAAACTGACTTAAAAGAAAATTAGTAGGCTTGAAAATTAAAGCACTCAACAGTTAGGAAATGCCAGAAATAAGGTTGCCCGGGCATATGTATTATGATTAGAGCTGGCTAGGAATTTTCCAGCTAAATAGTTTTGCAATTCATCAAAACAAAACCTTTTTGTGGAATCCAGGGTCAACAAAATTTTAGCTGGGAAAGGTTTTGCAGGTCCAGGATGAAATGTACGGTCAAACCCAGAAGAAAAGAGCAACCCATCCACCACAGAATAGCCAATAGTCCAACGGTTGGGGCTCTCCCTTCAGATGTGGAAAACCCACGTACAAGTGCCTGCTCAGACCAGGGATTTGAAATGCAGGTCTCCCCTCCCAGGTGAGTGCTCTAATTATGAGACTATTGGCTTTTTTGGGATGGGTCTCTCTAAACCTTTTCTATTGGAGCTGTCCCATTTTGTATAAATAATTAAATATTCATTGAAGCAGGGACGTGAACTTGAGTCTCCCACATCTGTGCCCTAACCACCAGGTCATAGCATCAATGTGGGTTACTTTTCAATTATTCCCTTATGCAAAGAAGGAAAAACAATTTAGTGTTGAATAGCATGGAGATTCATCGGTAAGGTATTCACTTACCTGAAATATTTGTTTCAAAGAGAAAAGGGCCCGTCTCAGCTCCCGTCCACTGGAGTTGTAGAGTTTTTCTGAAATAAGGAACACCAAAAAAAACCCACCATTAACAAGACTGCCAAAATGGGATGGAGTTAGAGGGGAGCTGGTGAGGAACGGTCACAGTGTCCATTTACTAAGCAGTATATTCCTCTCAGACTAGCTAACCTTTTTTTCATAGATAACACCTGTCCATCAAGCAGCACAAATAAAACAAGTTAATTATTCATGGCCTGAGTGAAATTTGCCAGAGGAACTTTAGGAAAGGTCAGTACAAAATGAGACTATGAGGATTTTTCAAGTGTAATTATGTCTATTTAGCTTTCTTTCCTTTTTAAGTTAAATTTAGAGCCTGTGAAAGGTACTGACAGCAATGAAGAATTCACAGCAGCTGCACTGCAAGCTTCCCCACACTGCCCCAATAATGAGCTTCAATCCTGTCCTGGAAGGATCACTTTTAAGGAACAAGAGGGGACTTCAGACCTCATACCTATGCAGTCTTTGACCACTGTTTTGTGATGGCCAACGATCATGCTAACTAGTGCCAGCTTTATGATTTGGAAAATCTAATGGGAAGTAGATTGAGGACATATCACTCAGATCCCTCATTTTATACAGACTACTATCAAGTGGTAGTAAGTTTAGATCGCTACTAATTTATCTACATTTGAACTAGTGACTTAGAAGTAAAAGTATCCACATCCCCATTATCAGTCCTTGAGCCATTGAATCCCCCAGACGTTCCTTTCCTGTGTTCTCATTTTTGTAATGGGAATACCTTTCTGCAATTGCAATGTATGTGAGGATACGTAATACCAGAAATAGCTGGACAGTTTGTTCTGAGCATAATTCAAAACAATGTTTTTCTCACTTAATATATATCTCAATCTCTCGCTCTCTTATATATAAAAAATGCATAGTCATAGAAAAAATAATGAAAAGTGGAAAAAGTCATTAATTTTATGTGTATTGAATGAACGTATTGTGAGGGCAATTAACAAGAGAAACCAACTTATTTTGGTGACCTTCCAGGATGCTCTTAGCCTCTCCCACAAGCTATCACATGGAGCATAGGAGCCTAGTCCTGCAAAGATTGGGTATGAAGGATGCTCAATAGCTTTAAAGAGGCACTCAGAGGCTCACGGGATCAAGGATAAATTGACTGCAGACTGTGGATGTTCCTGTATGGCAAGATGATGCTCCATCAGCCAAGTGTGTGCAACTGACAAATAAATTTCCCCCACATACACACACACACTTCCCTTTGCATATTTCTGTACTGCACTAAATACTGTACAAAATCCAACAGCCACATTTTCTTTTCCTCTTTCTGGGAAGGACACAGAAAAAATAGGCATTTGAGGATTTCTTACATTTTTGCTCAGAGACTTTCCATTTTCCACTTAACTCTAAGAAACTTAATTTGAGAAGACTTGAGGGTTAATGTGAATAAACACCTTCTAGTCCCAACAGTCTCATCCAGTCAGAAAATAAAACTTCAGCAGCTGTTTATAAGCCTCATAAAGCATTTTGGTCATCCCAAACTGCCTTTGGCTTTGAAGGCAGAACGTGTAGAACTGACCCAACTATTACAGCTGTTACAATCATTCCTCTTCCTTGTAGAGTTTATGGATTTCTGACAAAAACACTGGAGGAAGGGATTTCATTTAAAACCATAAACTGCAATCTTTAATTATTCTATCTTAAAAATGTACTGGCATGTATAAGCACATGACATTTCTTGGCTTGATAAAGAGTCTGTCAGGAAAGCTTAAAGAATAATAGGGATTTTTTTAAGACCTTGTTTGTTGACTTCACATACTATATAGCACAAAACTATTTCTCTGTGAAATATACCTCCATCTGGCATTTGTTATAACTAATTTCCCTCCATTCATATAAGTCACTGGCATCCCAGAGTCCCTCCAAATGAGGCAATGCAGCATCATCCTAATTAAGAGAGGCACCATTTCTTGTAGTGCTGGCAACTTTGTACATAAATATCAACATTTTAAACAATGTCATCTGTGGGCCCTTCCTTACACAAGAGCAATTACTGCTGCAGCCTAGGGTAAATAATAATCATGTATTGTTATGATACTACAATAGTGGTTGCCTCCACTGGTGCATGCAGTTTTTGTAGTTCTCTGAGAAGAATGAAGTTGAACTATTTACTCTTGTTCTTTTGTTTTCTCTTTTCACAGATGTGGTGTAAAAAAAATCCATGGCTCAAGAATAGACAATGTGTCTGTCAGTTGTTCACATGAGAAAGAAGTCTGTAACTTCACTTCCGAAAACACACCACATGAGCTAAAGGAGGCTCACCAATAGCTTCTAGTAGTATTAAGGCTTATAAGCAGCAGCCACCAGTTACCACAGGGCAACATAATCAAACACATGAGCAGATCTGAGTCCACTTAGAGGGGAGTAACAATACATATTAGATGTGAGTCAGCATGTTGCACCAGCCATGTGTAGCAAACTGGAGAAAAAAGACCAATTAATGTTCACAGTTCTCTTCACATATTAAGATGAACTTGTGTATTTAAACACATGTAACCTATTCACCCACATGTAACCTATTCACCCACAATTCCAACTGCTAGTTTATTCGGACTAATTTTTACATGCCTTGGCAATTCATGGATCTTCTCCTCAAGTCTTGGCTCCATCGAGGAACCATGAAAAATCAGAAACATTTACAGACCCATAATCCAGAAGGTAAGTGAAATACTTGTATCTTTAAGAGTTATGCTACATTAGAAAATACCATGGGTTGGTTTCTGCATGAAGTAAGGGTGTAATTCACCCTAAGCAGAGAACTCTGTATAAGGCACGCTTTTCTTTTCCTTGTGGTACTATGTTATTTTCTTCAAGATACACAGAAATTTATCTACAAGATAAACATTTAGGGCTATATATAGCCCTCAAGGCATGGTAGAACTCCTATATATGTCAAAAGGAATGTGAATTCCACATGTGAATTAACAGCATGTTTTGATGCTTATCCCATAAGCTTCATATATGAACAGAGACAGTGCAAACATTAAACTGACAGCAGGATTTGAAAGTTAAGAATAATCAATTGCAGTAATCTCCCTTTGTGTGGTAAACCAGGAATGAAGTGCATATTTTTTTACAGTGCTTTCATAAGAATACTGAAGATAATTAAGAAACAAGATAGCAAAAGCTATCTAACAAAACACCCAGGTCACATGGATTGTAATGAACTCGCTACTGTGACGTGTATTGCTACCCCTCTACTAGACAGACTCAGAAATGTGTACGAATGGGTGTGTCATAATTCCTATGCCAACAGCTGAGAAGAGTCTCTTTTAACTGAAGTGATAGGTGCCTATAATTCTGGAGCAGAAGCATCCAAATTGTATCCCCGCTGCTACCACTAACTTCTAAGAGGGCCATGCTGACAGATTTAAAGTCCTAGCAGGCCACTGGTTTGCTATCATATAAAATACTTCATATATAAACACCAACTGTTAACAGGAGACAAGAAGTCAGCTTTTGTATGGTGTCTTAGTAGCCAGCCAAATGATCTTCTTTGAAATAATGCAGTGTAGTTGAGGATACATACCAGGCAACGTTGGCTAGTAGGATTAAGGGATATCTTCACTTAAAAGAAAATCCTTGAGAGCGCATGTGAGAGCTGGATCTTGGCTGACACAGCAGGGATTGAACCATGGACCCTCCAGAGCTAAAAGAGTGAGCTTGCTACACATTGAATTAATATGCCAAGACTCACGACCAAAGGCTGTAACTGACTCATATCCTCCACAGACAGAGCACAGAAAGGGATCTCATATATTCAGGAACCACGATACCAATAAAATTAAATAAGATAAATTAAGAGCAATAGACACAGTCAGAGGTCCCAAACTCCCTAAATGTTAATAGTGCATTTCTGATGCTTATATGGTAATGATTTGCAAAATTGCTTTTAGTTCCTAAATAAAAGGAAGAGCTCATGGAGGTTGGGAAAGTCAAGGTTTTAATAAAGACATTCATCTTGCAGTGATCACACTCGGTAGTTTCGTCAGCTATTACCACTAGATGGCAGGGATTATTTTTTAAGGGAGAGGAGGCACTATCTGTTAGAGGTCTGCTTGGGCCCAATTTTAAAACCCGACCTGAATCCGACTAGACCACAGCCAATACGAACCCAAACTACACCCGAGAGTGTCATGTTGCTTTCATTCCTGACTCAGGGGGAAAACAAAGAAGGAAGGACTCTCTGGCTTAAAATTGCAAACAATAGGGTAAGGGATGGCAGAACTTGCTGGGGAGGGGGAAGGGGGAGACAGCACCCCGCAGTGGAAATATTGTGGGGCCTGATATGTTTCTGTACCTATGCATTACACTTGCAGGGATGGGGGGTGGGGAGTGGGAACTGTAAGGGGTGGATCAGCACCCAGGACTGGACTGGGAAGTAGGAACTGGGGTAAATGGTGCCCCAAGGCCAGCAGAGGTGGTAAAATGGGCGCTGAGGTGCATCCTGGGGGGCAAAAGGAGGCCTCAGGAGGGAGCAGAGGAGAGCAAGGGGGAAGCTGAGAGGAAGACAGGGGCAGCAAGGGAGTTGCGGGAGGCCCAGGGATCAGGGGTGACTCATTGCAGAGCCCATCCCATCCCTGCCTCCCCCAACACCTGTGCCTGGCTCCTGCTCCCTGCTCAGCCATCTGGGCTGCCCTGCTACCCAGCTCCCAATATCTCCCAGCTCCACTTGGGCTCCCAAAGGCTCCAGTCCCCATGATCCCTTCTGGTCCCAGCTATAGCATCCCTGGCTCCTTCCATGAAACGCCACCACCTGCCAGCTCGGACGCTCTTCAACCAGAGAGAGAGAAAGGGGCCACCTTGCCTCCCCTGGCACCTGAGCCCTGTTCACCCTGCTTCCTATTCCCCAGCCTAATCCGGGGCATGGCAGTGGCTGCTCCAGTCACTCTGGGTCCCATTCTCAGCCGCCACAATAATTCTGTTGCCAGGGGACTAGTCCCCGTCACTCCTGAGTGCCAGTGCCCTGCAT